TGTGTGTGGGGTGATGTTTTCCTGAGAATGTGGTAAAATAATAGAAGGTCCCAGGGTTCCTCAATCTACAGACCACAGCTGAGTGAGTGGTGGTGTGTGCCTCTAGTCATGAGGTGAAGCATAGGTGAAATTCCGATCCATAGGAAGACAGACTCTGCAAGTTAGTAAGCTAACTTGCTACAGGAAATGGTAGACTCCTGTGCTGGCTGCCAAATAAAAAGCCTTTCTCCACAGTTCTGTTCTCATGTACACCTTCAGGACCTTGGATGAGCTCGTGTGTTCAGGAAATTGGGCACCGAGATTTTTTTTTGTATCTTTGATTTTAGTTGATAAGTAGCCCTTCCAAGGAAAGTACTCGTTGGATGCCCGTTCTACACTGTGGCATTGTGCAAGAGGTATCAAATTTTAAAGTAAAAACGCACAACCCGGCCAGGTGCGGTGGCTTACGCCTGTAATCCCAGTACTTTGGGAGGCTGAGGCGGGTGGATCATGAGATCAGGAAATGGAGACCATCCTGGCCAACATGGTGAAACCCCATCTTTACTAAAAATACAAAAACTAGCTGGGTGTGGTGGTGCATGCCTGTTAATTTCAGCTACTCGGGAGACTGAGGCAGGAGAATCAACTTGAACCAGAGAGTTGGAGGTTGCAGGGAGCCGAGATTGCGCCCCTGCACTCCAGCCTGGGTGACAGAGCGAGACTCCATCTCAAAAAAAAAAAAAAAAAAAAAAAAAAAGGCTCATCACCTGGCACGGTGGCTCACGCCTGTAGTCCCAGCACTTTGGGAGGCTGAGGCAGGCGGATCACGAGGTCAGGAGATCGAGACCATGCTGGCTAACACGGTAAAACCCCGCCTCTATGAAAAGTACAAAAAAAAAAAAAAAATTAGCCGGGCGTGGTGGCGGGCGCCTGTAGTCCCAGCACTTTGGGAGGCTGAGGTGGGCGGATCACGAGGTCAGGAGTTCAAGACCATCCTGGCTAACATGGTAAAAACCCCGTCTCTATGAAAAGTACAAAAAAAAAAAATTAGCCGGGCGTGGTGGCGGGCGCCTGTAGTCCCAGCTACTCGGGAGGCTGAGGCAGGAGAATGGTGTGAGCCCAGGAGGCAGAGGTTGCAGTGAACGGAGATCGCGCCACTGCACTCCAGCCTCCACTGCGACCAAGCAAGATTCCATCTCCCCCTCGCAATAAAAAAACAAAAACAAAAAAAACCCACGACCCTGATCTCTCAGAGCTTCCATATTAATACATCTATACAATGTGAAATGCAAATCCACTTAATGTTTGTTGCAAAAATAATTTATTTGACCTGTTATTTTAACTATTTGACATAAAATCTCTAAATCAAAATAATCAGCAACGGTTTTAAGTGTATAAATATGTATTTCTTTCAGTTCTGTGAACATTTTTAGACAGGGAGACTCTTGATCTTTGTAAGCAAATAGCATCAAAGAATAACATTTCTGCACCTTTGTGGTGTGTACCTTGTGGCTAATTTGTCCATGAAGGGATAGGCATTGTCTTTTGTTGCTTAAGTCATGTAAGGCTTTTAAAGCATTTCCAGACTCACCTATTTTTGCTCTAAGGGGTATAAGGTGTTAAAAATGAATGGAAGTTAACTCATTCTCACCTTGTCTGCTGACTTCCTTTTGTTCTTTTTCTGTAAGAGCTCGTAAAGCTGTATGCATCAGCTGCTCCCAGGGGCCTTCTAAGGCCTCAGTCCAGCAACAGTGCTACAGATGAGGAAGGGAAAAAAAGACAGTATGTCATCATGTCATTCTTTTAGACTTGGTAAGAAGTATATTCAAGCAGATCAGATGCTCTCAGAATCACAGTGTGTTGTACAGCTAGTAATTAAAGCTGAAGTCCACATTGAATAAGAAATAATTTTTTATTGATTGCTGGCATTTGTGAAAAAGGTTTAATTAGACCAGGATATGGAGGGGACTTATCGACAGTGCCATTATACGTTGTTGACATGGTTACTTTCTGTATCTCATTTTGCCTGGGAATTTGTCATTCTCTTCTACTTTCTTATCAGTAGCACTGCTTTTACACTTATTAGCCATAGCTGTTTGTCTTGCTTATTTAAACTTGTACATGGCACATGCCCAAAGGTTTTTCCAGGCAAAATTTCTTTAAAGCAGGATTTGAGATTTTCCATCCCCTTCCATCTGGTGGATTATTCCGGTGAGTGTTAATCTCCTGTCTTTGTCTTAGCCTCTCTGTGGTCTTTGGTTGCCTCCTTGTTCTCTGTAGATCTCTGTGTTGGTCATTAACTGTCAACAGTCAGCACTTGCTGCCTCTCAAGCCTCTTCCCTTCCTGGCTCTGCCCTGGTTTTTCTCTGACAGGGATCTAAGTTGGAATTCTTTCCAATGTGGAATCCTAGGTGTCCACCGTGTCATTCTGACTTCCAGATAATAATGAGTGTGATCATGGGCAGAATGAATGTCTCTCTGCTGGGATTAAAAGTTAGGGGAAGGCAGAGACAAATATCACATGTTCTCATGTATATGTGGGAGCAAAAAAGTTGATCTCTTGGATGTAGAGAGTAGAGTGATGGTTACCAGAGACTGGAAAAGCGGGCGGTGAAGAGGGGTAGAGATTGAGTACAAACATTCAGTTAGATAGAGGGGAATGCATTCTAATAGGGTGACTATAGTTAACAGTAATTTACTGTATATTTCCAAATAGCTAGAAGATTAGAAATGTTCCCAACACAAAGAAATAACAAATGTTTGAAATGATGGATATTCTGATCATTAAACATCGCATACATTATACATTGCATACATGTCTCAAAATACAATATTTACCCTATAAATATGTACAAATATTACACATCAATAAAAAGTAAAAGGGGAAGGCATAGGTTTAGGCATAGAGTTTCACCCTAAGGACCTTTTGACAGGGAAGACCAGGGATGATTTTAGGGTGTGGGGAATCTGTGTAAGTTGGCCATTAGCGGTCAACAGGCGGCAATAACTGTCTCAGGTCCCTCCGGCTCCCAGCCCTGTCCTGGTTCTGCTTGCCAGCAGGGATCTAAGTTGGAATTCCTTTCCAACACAGAATCCTGAATGTCTACCATGTCAAAATTGTGTCAAAATTTGTCTGTATGCGTTTTTCTTGGTAGGAGGGTCCCCAGAAGACACCACATTCTCAGAGACTTCTGACCCCTAAAACTTTAGAAATCAACAGTCAATAAAAAGGTCCCAGTTGTGTCTTCTTAGTCCCCATGGCAGTACATTTGAACATTTAAAGGTGGAGAGTCGCTGCTGAGGACTTTGTTTTGTGGATGAAACTTTGAATGAGGATTGTTGGTGAGAGTTGGATTGTTGTTGTATGAGGAAGTGCACCTTGGAATCCAATGGGGTCTTCACGGTGGGAGAGTCAGCTGTGGCACTGTTTGTATTCCATTCATCTTTGATCCCTCCATCCAAGTGCCCAATGTGGAACTCAGAAAGATTACTAACACATACCCCCTGCTGCTCTTGTTTTTCTAGTGTGTGCTAGGACCATTTACATTTAGTTCTTTGGAGAACACAACTACTTAGGATTTTTATTGTTGTTGTTGTTTTCCTGTACATTGTCTTCTTATTTCCCTTCTTCTGGGTACCCACCCACCCTCTCTCCCCTTCCTCACTGCTGTTTCATAGGGGTTCCCAGGTTCCTGTGAATAAAGCAAACCAATGTGCAGATGTGTGTGCTTACACGTGCAGACGTATTTGAGGAGGTAAGAGGAACCTGCACAAGGCTTTAGTGAGTAAGCGGAGAAGTTATTTATATATAGTGAGACCTAGTAAATGGTGATGTTGCAGGTGAGGCAATTTATTTGGTCAGAATATGCCTCCAGAGAAATCACTGGTGAGGCCTGCATGCACGTTGAAGAGTATCTTAGATCTAGGCTTGGGTTCCCCCCTGCAACTCACTTATGAATAACAACTTGTGCAAGAGGTTTAAACATTTTCTATAATGAAGGGGGGAAAAAATTAAGGTTAGGGTTAAGCGTGGATTGTTTGCTGATTGGTTTGGATATTGGCAATTGCTACAAAGCCCAGGGTGTTCTTTGTTTATCAGCAGCAAGCTTATCAAGTTATTGACGTTCAAGATGAGTTTCCTTCCCTCCCTCCTTCCTTCTTCTCCACTGACATTTTTTTTTTTAAATAGGTAGGGAGGCATTTAATCTTGTAACAGCATGAGAATAGCTTAAATGTCCCTCTTCTAGCAGTGTGTTTATAGCAGCATAGGTAAGGAAAGCCCAGCTTGCACAGCTGAGCTCTAAAGTGCATACATCCCTTTAGTTCTCATGCACACACTGACCAGTGAGACCCCCAAACTGCGAACAGAGAATTCTAGTTGAAGTAAAAGCATGAAGTTTTTCTTTATTGACCAAGTAGCAACTGTGGAATCATTTGAAAATTTCTGAAAACGTGAAACAGGTGTTTATAAGGAATTTTCTGACTTAAAAAAATTTGTGAAATACCAACTTTACTAAAAACGACTAATTCATAATTTTTTGATTTATTGATAATTTCTAGTCTGGAAAAGAATTTCTTGAAAATCACTGATATTTTGAGTATACTGTTTTCAAATTGAGTCCTCATAGTGTGGTTGGCTCTGTTCTACGGAATTAATATTGAACAAGCTGTTCTGAACCTAAGAAAGGTTTGTGAAAAATAAGCATGAAGGAAGACTTCAAGAGATCACTTAAAAAATATTTATTTATTTATTTATTTATTTATTTATTTATTTATTTATTTATTAAGAATTAGGTCTCTGTTGGCCAGACTGGAGCACAGTGGCACAATCATAGCTCACTGAAGCCTTGAACTCTTGGGCTCAAATAATCCTCCTCTCTTAGCTTCCTTAGTACCTAGAACTACATGTGTGCATCACCATGCCCAGCTAATTTGTTTATTTATTTATTTAATTTATTTATTTTTACTTTTAAAGAGGTGAGATTATAGGCATTAGCCACCGTGCCCAGCCAAAAGGTCACTTTTTTTTTTTTTTTCCACTTGTTGGGGAGGAATGAATAACAGGAACACTAGTCATGATTTGATGTGTTTTTTTCCAGGGCAGACAAATAAAGATCATATTATGATGTTTGTTATCACAGAATGTGTTTGTTTTTGATAGGGGGTGGGTACTGAAGGCTAAGTGGTTAGAATCATTCTTTTTCTAAGGGTATAGTCATTAATACTCCTTGATTCAAATCACTGTTACTTAAGTTATAAACATGTGGATTTATTTTCTAACATCAAAATTATAGTATCTTACCACATACTTGCATGCCTTTTTGAGTTAACTGTTGGTGATGATTCTTAGCTCAACTGTGGCCAACTATGGGTAAGAGAATTAGAAAGTTGTTTTCAGTGTGTGAACTTTTATGATTTTCTTCCTTGGTTACTATACTCAGTTTTTTCTTGTTCTCTTGCTATACAAGATGAGTAGCTGGTGACTCAGATGTCCCCCATGCTGCATGTACAGTCCCATCCAGAGAATGTTGTGGGCTGTGTAAACCTTGAGGCTCAGAGTGGCTGTGGCTGCCATTTTCCTAAAAGAGAAGTATGGCTGCTGTTGGCTTTAATGTTCAACTTTACAAAAATTCACATAATTAATGAAGATCAAGACATCTGCAAACATTAATGTGATCACAAAGGATAAATCAATTCCCTGAGACGGGAAAAAGTTAAAAGGCTAGTTTGCTTACTACTCCAATCAAGGCCTTCTCAAGAAGTATGTGAAATTTTGACACAAGGATTAACATGGAGCATTACTTAGGCCATGGGGTGCCTTGGGGGACATGGATCGGCAACCATTTCCTTTTGCTCACAGCACCCAGATTTTGTTCTAGGGACCACTCTTATCTGCACTGCATAGCAGCCACGCATTTTGGGTGAAATTAACCCCAACTAGCATTAGAGCATCCTCCCTTCCCCAAAAGATGGACTATACCCTACCCTGTAATCAGCAGGGAGGCATTTCCTGGCCACAGCTCAGGTTGATCCCTTAGAACGCTGCTCAGAACTGTGGTTTGGTGGTTCTGGGAAGCAGTGTTCTCTCTGGATGTGAATAAGGGTCCACATAGCTCCAGTAGGTGTCTGAGGACATCTTGTGATCCGGAGGGAAGCCAGCCTAAGGACAAAGTCATTGTGGGGTGAGAGACAGGACTGGAAGAATCACTGAAAACTGCAGTAGTAGCCCAGAATAAATTGTGCCTGAAACCTACCCTATTTTTGTATTTTTCCAGTTTTAAGGAAATAAATCCCCTTTATTGTATAATCAGTTTGAATCAATTATTTTTATCTCTTTTTGGGATTGGTTTTTTGGTTAATCTCAGCAATTCAGAAATAGCTGAAGAACTATGCTGTGGGTTTAGACATCATGCTATGACAAAAAGAAGAGGATCTTAGAAGCATGGGACATTCACTGAAGTTTTATGAGCCTTTCCTGAATCCCTTCAAATCAGATTCAATTCTCTCTCTTCTGTGCTTAGAAATGCTGCCTGTTAAGTCGGGTTGGCTACAGCACCCATCTCGGATCCCTTGTGATTCAAATTGTAAAGCAGATTCTTCTGGTCTGAATATGAGGCCAAAATACAAGACAGATCAAAAATGGAGAACATATTGCAAATTTCCCCACAAAAGATTGAAGGATGCATTTACCATTCATTGCACAAGAACTGCAGTGTCTGTGCTTTTAGGCATGGAAAATGCAGGGTTTGACTATAGAGTTTAGACTTTAAAGTTGAGAATTGTTTCTTTAAGAAGAAATATAGAATATTATTCAGTCCTAAAAAGGAAGGACATTCTGACACATGCAACAACATGAATGAACCTTGAGGACATTATGCCGAGTGAAATCAGCCAGTCACAAAAGGACGAATACTCTATATGATTTCATTTAGATTAGGTTCCCTAGAGTAGTCATATTCAGAGACAGAAAACAGAATGATGGTTGCGGGGGGTTTGGGGAAGGGAGCGAAGGTTTCACTTTTGCAAGATGGAAAAAGTTCTGGAAATGGCTGGTGGTGATGTTGTACAACAGTGTGAACGTACTTAATGCTGCTGCACTCTATACTTAAAAATGGTTAAAATGGTAAATTTTGTTATGGATATTCTCCCACAATTAAATTTAAAAGAAAGATGAGTAGTACTCGTCTTATTATTGGATATTACATCAGGGAACTGGAGGTAGGGTCGCACTTACTGGTTTCGTAGCTTGGGAACCACACTCCTACTCCAGCTGTGCAGCCCCAGGTTTGAGTCCTGGTTTCTTTGGAGGTTGTCTGACTTGGAGGTTAATAATAACCTGCCTTAGTCCCAGAGTCCTAAGAGGGAAAATAGGTTATAATACCTGAGTCCATGTGCATCAAGCCCTTGCTGGTGCCAGGCCCCTGGAGCACTCAGAAATGGATGACCCCCAGCTGGTTCAGGCCAAGTCCTCCCTGGTGTAGCAGGCGGGGCCATTGCCTCACTCCCCTCCACCTCCACCTCCACCTCCACATGGAAGGTGCCTTTTGTGTCCTGCCCCATCTCTGTTTTAACAGTCACAAGACTGTAGGCAGATCTAAACTTGTTTGCACATTATTATCACCTGGGGAGCTTTTCAAATTCCAAAGTCAGGCTGCCACCCCCACCTCTAGACCAACTGAATCACCATTTCTAGGGGTGGGACTGGGCATCTGTGTTTTCGAGGCTTCTGGGTGGGTACCTTGTGCAAACAAGTTCAGGGACCGTTGCCCTAGGCATTGTTCTTCCCCTCATGTCTCAACCTGGGCCTCCTACCACTGCCGCCACCACCACAGCTATGCCACCTGGGAAGTGTCCCAAGCCCCCACTTGTGGGGGAAGCAGCTGGGGAGGGGTCTTTGGCCACCTCTGCAGCTGTAAGGATCAGAGCAACATCTGGCTTCTGTGCCTGTGGCCCCTGCTGGTGCTGGGCCCCTGGTCCGCACTGAAGGATCCAGGCGGAGTACAGTGGGTCGCCCAGGGTTTCCGATTCAGCAGGTCTCAGGCTGATTGGATGATGAGAATTTGCATTTCTGTCAAGTTCCCAGGTGATCCTGTTTGGGGTCTGGGACCACACTTTGAGAACCACTGCTCTATTAAACAAATCTTTGCAAATTAGGGAGGTGTGTTGTAGGAGGAGGAGACTGATAGTTGAAAGAATATTTGCCTAAATACAGTGCCTAGTATTTGCCAAGTACACAGCCTTCTTTCTGGCTTTAATCATACAGAGACTTTCTCAATCACCTGCAATTGCACATCCTTTAAGCAGCTTTTGACTGACTTTGGTTTTCTCTTTGTGGTGATTTTCCTTAAACTCTTGAAGGGAGGGTAGATGGGGCAAGAGAGATTTTATTTCTTTATTTTAATTAATTAATTAATTAATTTTTATTTATTTATTTACTTGTTTATTTATTGAGATAGAGTCTTACTCTGTCTCCCAGGCTGGAGTGCAGTGGTATGATCTTGGGTCACTGCAACTTCCACCTCCCGAGTTCAAGCAATTCTCCTGCCTCAGCCTCCTGAGTAGCTGGGACTACGGGCATGTGCCACCATGCTGGGCTAATTTTTTGCATTTGTAGTAGAGATGGGGTTTTGCCATGTTGGCCAGGCTGGTCTCAAACTTCTGACTTCAGAAGATCTGCCTGCCTTGGCCTCCCAAAGTGCTGGGATTACAGGCGTGAGCCACTATGCCCAGCCAGATTTTATTTCTTTAAAAAAGAAACTAGTTAACAGGACACTTGCGTTCTTGGTACTTGATTTTGTCAGCATTATTTATAAGAGCCTCTTCCCTTCTTCCCCCTACCTCCCCGTTGAGCCCAGGCTCTGAAGTAGTGTAGGTGCGCATGATGTCCCCTACCTGCCGTTTGACCAGACATTGGTGCCAGGCGGCCCTCACCTCCACCTCCTCTCACCTGAGGCCACAGCGGTGTGCAAGGTTGTGGTCTGTCTTAAGTGTGTTTTCAAAGCGGCTGTTTGGTCTGTGCCTTGGATGTTTTTCCACAGATAAGCCCTAAAGAGGGCCACATCTTAAAACGCCCGTGACCTTGAATGGTCTTTCCGGAGGGGCAGCTGGATTTGTGCTCTTATCGTCTCAGGTATGTGTCAAGCCACTGTTGGTTCAGAGCTGGACACAGGTGCTTAGGAAAATTCCTCACTGAAGGGTTTTCAGGATTTACAAGTTCTTGCTGTTTTTGTGACCTTGTGTGGTTTCTGGTTTCACAGAAGGCTTTGTTTCTTGGTTCTTGTTGCTGCTTTCAGCCTTGGCCTGTAATCACTGGGCGCCAGGGAGGGCTGCGGTCTGTTTCCCAGGGTGTGCTCAGGGGTGTGCTCAGTTACCGTGTCGTTCACATGTGTTGCTGCAGCGGCAGAGGGCCAGGCAGGAGGGGTCGGTGTCCCGAAGCACACTCAGTTGCTAATCAGGGCCTTTGCTTGGATTTTGCACTTGCACCAGTGGAGACATTCCTCGGAGCTACTCAGTGTGGTTTGTTTTAAGTGGGCCATCCCTTAATTCATGTGACTTGGAACTTGGTTAATGTGCTTTCCAAGGTAAAAGTTTAGATGCTGTTTGTTAAACCTTTCAAAGAGGGAAGAAGGTTGCCTTGAATTCAGTTCCAGGGTTTGGGAGTCTGAGAGGGAGGTGGTTAGGGACCTGGGGAGCCCCTGAGAAACAAAGTGCTTGTTAAGGACACAGTCTGCTCACCAACCTCGGAAGTCTCTAGACTTCTAAAGAAGTCCAAGCAAGGAACGATGACCAAAGAGGAACCTCAAGGGTGCAGGCAACTCTGGGATCTCAGGCAGCACTTCTCAGTGATGGAACGAGCTGCTGAGGAATGACCCCTCTCGGGACTGTCCAAAGTCAGAGCAGACACAAGCTTAGCTCTCCAGGCCCCATACCATGGTGGGCAAGAGGGCGGTAAGTGCATCCTCACAGCTGACGGGGAGAGCAGCATTTCAGCCTAAGGAAAAGAGAACCACACAGATGCAAGAAGAGGTCTGCACTTACTCGCCTGGTCATGCAGAGACGGAGCTGGGAGCAGATGCATGACTTTTCAGAGAGGTAGCACATGTTTACTGTAAGGGTCCCAAATGTAGACCACTGCAGATGGTAAGGTCTAGATGGAAGGACCAATAGTAGGGAAGTAGGGGAGAAGAAAGTAAAACCTTACAGTATAAAGACCCATAGATGCTCTTTTGTTTTTGATGTGTGTACAGTGGGTTAGGTATTGTCATTTATTGAGCACCTACTGCATGACAATGACAGCAATGACAATGCAGAGCTTAATAAGAACAGGTTCTAGAGTAATCTTTTAGGGGGTAGGGACAGAACAGAAATGGATAATTATGCCACTGTCCTGAGAACATGAGAGAGTGCTGGTGGACAGAACAGCGACATATCCCCAAGGGCGACGGAAGCCTTCACAGAAGATGCAAAGCCCATACGTGGTCCTCGGAGTCATGCTACATGGTGACTAGTTATCTTAACAGTCATAGGAAAACTGAGAAGCTGTGAGGCATGTTCCATCTGTCTTTGTGGGCATTATCTTCATTATTTGTACAATTCAGAGTGCTTGATGCCTTTTGCTTCGTTCTCACAATCCTTGACACTAAACTATGGGCTTGGGTTATAGTCACTCATTCTGTTATTCGTGTCATCTTGTCCTACCCCTCCACTTCACAGATGAGAAGACTGAGACCCAGAGAGGGTCATGATTTTCAGTTGACCAAATGGTGCAGAAACTCAGTGGTCACAGCGGCCCTCTAGCTCTTTCTCACCCACAGGGCCCTTGACAAGAGTACGGTCTTTCTCCCTGGGAGCAGGGTTGAGGAGTGGGCGTAACCCTGGCCTGGGTGGCCATATGCTGATTTCCCCTCCCTTGGCCCATAGGTCTGTATCTTGGGTGAGGTGAGAAAGTAAGGCTGCTCCTTGACTATGGTCCCTTTTGTGTCTGTCCTGCACTGGGCCACCTTCCCAGGGGCTTTGCATTAGCCTGGTGTAGTGGCCTTGACGTGAGAGTAGGTGGATCACACGTGGCAGATCTCTGGCAATGACCTTTTCTGTGGATTTCCAGTGACTGATGATAGCCTCTTCGGAAGTTAGCATATGCATAGCTCTCTGTCTTTTGAAATCAGTGGGAAAACCCACCACCAGCCCCCAAACCAGCTGTTTTTCTTCTTATGAACAGATATCTATGAAGAGCAGAAGAGTAGTTTTCTTTTAAGTACTCTGGGAGTGCATAATACGTTTTAAATAAGATTAAAAATTATGTCTTATTCTTACTAGCATCACTGTCAGATAATTGAGCGTGAGAGCATTCAGTGCTGTGTGCTTGGTACGAAGTAGTAACATCAATTCAGTGTTCAGTACATCCACTTTGTTCAAGAACAGTGTATTCAAGGTCAGTGTATTTTGGCTGTGCTACAGAGTTCTGGAAATTCCCAAGAGAATAAGTTTTCACCTGTTATATAATCCAGCACAAGTGACTGTGTAGCAGCAGCCTCATGTTTAGTGATGACTTTAAAATGCAATTGATTCTAAAATTTAGCTTTTAAAAATTTTGGCTTTAAAAAATTTTCTCTTAAGGTTTAAGGTAGGCTTCTTTCTTTATTTATTTTTTTCAAGAAATACTTATAGAACACTGTTCTGTGCTATGTACCATTCTAAGCACTTTACAAATACTAATTCATTTAATCCTCAACCTTGTTAGGTAAGTACTGCTATTCTCACTGTACAGATGAGGAAACAGCCTCCGAGGAGTTAAAACAAGTTGCTCAGGTTACACAGTCAGCAGTTTGGACTACTTCAGTTTCAGATAATCGCTGAAATTTTACTGTTTTGAGCTACACGTTTCAAAATCTTTTCTGTTGCGGAACTATCATTAAATCATATAATCCGCTTCTCTGGAGTCAAAGGTTGACAATACATTAGCACTTGACCTCCAGCACCTCTCCCTGGAGGAGGACATTCCATCTGCAGGGAGCCAAGTCGGATGTTGGAGCAACTCTGGGACCACAGCCCTCCAGTAGAGGGAACACGAGAGCAGGCTATCTGTGGAGATGTACTGTTGGCACAGGGGTGAAGATGGAAGGAGGGGAACCCAAGCAAAGAAAGGTGGGGAGATGAGTTAATTAGCAGTTTGCCCTCCAGGCTCAGTGGGCAAGTCAGCCTGGGGATCTAGAGTTAGTTCCCTTTTCTGTTGTGACCATTGAAGACGTTCACCAAATTCTCTGGCTCCAGGATGTCAGCTGTAGTAGTGACTTGCATGGGAGGTTTTGGTTTTCCGACATACCTCACACACTTTAACTCCACCTCTTCAGAGTTTGTGGCCAACCAAGAATGGAGCCAGGTGGCTTTTTTTTTTTTTTTTTTTTTAAATTTATGTAATAACAGCAAACATTCGTGTTTATTGAAAACTTATTTCTGTGTCAGGCACTTTTCTAAATGCTTTGCAATGTATTGTCTCATTTAATAGTTGTTTAAATTAAGAGAGTAGGCCGAGGCAGGTGGATCACCTGAGATCGGGAGTTCAAGACCAGCCTGACCAACATGGAGAAACCCCATCTCTACTAAAAATACAAAATTAGCCAGGGTGGTGGCACATGCGTGTAACCCCAGCTACTGGGGAGGCTGAAGCGGGAGAATCGCTTGAACCTGGGAGGCAGAGGTTGTGGTGAGCCAAGATCATGCTGTTGCACTCCAGCTTGGGCAAAAAGAGTGAAACCCTGTCTCAATAAGTAAATAAATAAATAAATAAATAAAATTGTAAGGTGAATATGTAATCTACTTGATGGAATTTTTTTTAACTGCCTTGAAAAGTTTTATAATTTCCTATTTACAGATGAAATTAACATACTAATTATAAATCATTCCTCACTATTCACTTTAGGCAGTCTGTCTCCTTAAGGATCTCCTTACGGTTTAGGTAGATAAGTGAATTGCTTAATGTTTTTGGAAGTAATAAAACCATATTTCTTTTTAATTAAACAATCCAGATAACAAGTAGTATTTCTAATAGGAAACTTGCAGGATGTATTTACAGAAAGTCTACACAATCTTACTGAACAATGTAGAAAAGAAGATTTACCAGCCTGGGCAACATAGCAAGCCTTGTCTCTTAAAAAAACAAAACAAAACAAAACAAAACAAAAATTAGCCGGGGGTCGTGGCATACACTTGTCATGTCCACTTGTCAGGAGGCTGAGGTGGGAGGACTACTTGAACCCAGGAGGTCAAGACTACAGTGAGCCATGTTTGTGCCACTGTACTCCAGCCTGGATGACAGAGCGAGACCCTGTTTCAAAATAAAGAAAAAGAGATTTAAATGAAGCAAAATACCATTTGATCTAGGTGAGAAGCTGGAATATTAATGTCACTTTTTCCCAAATTGATTTATAATTTAAAAACAATTTCAGTATTTCTGCAGCTTGTTTGGAGCTTGATAAAAGGATTCTAAGGTTTGTCTTGAAGCTTTAATAGTGAGGCAGGTTTAAAATTGGGGTCAAAAAAGAAATGGGTTAGGGTGTAGAAGGGACTTGACTGATCACTTTTGCTAGAAATAAATGTCCCTCCACATTACTAATGTTGCACATCAGATCGTATTTAAATCCATTAGAAGATTTGCATTAGAACTACCCATAACTGGTGAAGACTCTGCTTATAGTGGAACCCAGTTTCTCAGTTTTCCATTTATATTTATTTACTTGAGCTTTTTGTAAAGTAGCAAGTACTTGACTGAATTTCTACTGTTTATCAAATGCTTTTTGAATAGAAATAATGAGTTAATAACATTTAACCTTTTTTTAGTAAATAGTGTTAACAAGATAGGCCAAATATGTAAACTACTTAGAACTTTATATAGCTTGCATATTTTGTGTCTCTTATTTGCATATGTTGGTCACATGCTCCTTATGTACCATGTGCTGTTACTGTGCCAGGGTAGTGAGGCTATATTGAGTCTATTTCCTGTCTTTGTGGACTTAATGGATAATTTGGACAACATTGTGGTATTCCAGGGTTAAGGGAATGTAGTCAGATTTCTCAAACTCTGAAATCCTCTGAGCATCTTTTCATGCACTGGCCTAAAATATTTTCATAGCCCAACAAAAGGCTGATTACCTTATTTCCCTCCTGTTGATTTTTTTTTTTGAGATGGGGTCTTGCTGTGTTGCCCTGTCTGCTTATGAACTCCTGACTCGGGTGATCCTCCTGCCTTGGTCTCCTGTTTATGTTTTAAATAGCATTTCTCAAACCTATTTGAGCAAATAATTTTTCTATTAATATGTAGTGTTCCTTGAAAGAATTGAATCTGTGAGTCCCTAATCTAGACACTTTTAGAGAAGAAACAAAACTCAGTAAACATTTGGATAAAAACCTGAATATGTGCATTTTGGGATGAACGGAAGCAGCTTTGTTTACCACATTGAATTAAGTGGAAAACATCTTATTTTAATCATGATTGATAGAAATCTAAATTTGTAAATTCTGATTTTTTTGTTTCTTTACAATGAAAATACATTTTAAATGTCACCATCCCCTTCCCCATGAAGTCTTCATTACAACTAATTTTGAAAATACTCTCTCATTTATTTATATTATATATGCATATGTTCTACTTTATAGTTTTAAATACTTAAATGGGGTTATCTTTTTGCATTGTTCTGTATCTTTTTTCAGCTTAATAATTTACCTTGCTTATAATTATTGTCAGTGCATGCGGACCTGCTCTTTATGCATTTTTAACCGTTGCATAAAGCTGGAATGATGGACATGATTTCTTTAATTGCTCCAAATCAGACATTTAGTTGTTTCCAATTTTTTAGTATTACAAGTAACGCTGCAATAAACATGTCTTGGGTATGCATTCTTTTAGTTTAAAATAGTCTTGTTCCTTCAGAAAGTTGCCCAATAATCGACTTAGAAATTCTTTAGTGCTAATTACTGTAATTGCTTATTTTAAGATCTTCCTTTAGTTTATTGTTTTCATAGTATATAATCCTAAACTGGTGAGCTAAGAAGGCAATGTAGCTTAAAGATGGGATTTATAAATAGGGACTTAAAAATTAACCTTTTTGGAGCTGTGACTTCCTGATGAAGTGGCAGCACACAGGCTGAATATGTTCTGCATCTGGATGGCCCAGCATCATGATGATGTGATTTGCACAAAGCTGTCTGCCTGCCTAGGCTGCTGGAGGATGGCAAGTTAACTTATTTGTTGTTGGGAGACCTCTCCCCACCCCCATTAAAAAAATTATTTTGAGATACTTGTAGATTCACATGCAGTTTCAAGAAATAATAAAGAGTAATTCCATGCACCATTTTCCTCCATTAGTAACATTTTGTGAAACTGTAGTATAGTATCACAGTCAGGATGTTGACAGTAATATAGTGAGGGTATATTTCATCACCACAAAGGTACACCTACTTCCCTTCTATCTCTCTTCTCTCCTTTATGCCTGGTTACAAACTAACCTGTTCTCTCTCTATAAAATTTTATCATTTAAGAATGTTCTATAAATGGACTCATAGTATGTAACACTTTGGGACTGACGTTTTTCCATCAGCGTAATTCCTTATAGATTCATTCAGGTTGTTGTGTTTATCAGTAGTTTGTTTCTTTTTATTGCTGAGTGGTAGTCTGTGGTATGAATGTACTACATTCCATGGACATGGCATGTCCCTCCATTTATTTAGTTTTTCTTTGATTTACTTTATTAGCGTTTTGTAGTTTTTGTCGTCCTGTGTATGTTTTGATAGAGTTGTACCCTAAGTATTTAATTTCTTTGCTCATTGCCAGTATATAGAGGTACTATTTATTGAACTCACTTTTCAGTTTATGGTAGTTTATTACTAGTTATTAATATATGCTCAATATATGTAAACTCCTTTTATTTTTATTAGGTATCACTTGCTAAATTTTGTGGAGAATACTGATGCTGTTGCTAGAAAGTGCTGCTATCACAGATTGGGTTTATATATAGTACCATGCTATCTTTCCTAGGCTGGATTAGAAGTTATTTATGTGCTATATGCACATAGAGGTTTTGATTGGTCTATTGCAAATACTATGGCATCTGAATCCTTTTTTTTTTTTTTTTTTTGAGATGGAGTCTCCCTCTGTTGCTGAGGCTAGAGTGTAATGGCGCAGTCTCAGGTCACTGCAGCCTCCGCCTCCCGGGTTCAAGCGATTCTCCTGCCTCAGCCTCCCAAGTAGCTGGGATTGCAGGCACCTGCAGCCACGCCTGGGTAATTTTTGTATTTTTAGTAAAGACAGGGTTTCACCATGTTGACCAGGGTGGTCTCAAAACTCCTGACCTCAGGTGATCCTCCCGCCTTGGCCTCCCAAAGTGCTGGGATTACAGGGGTTAGCTACCATGCCCAGCCTCTGAATCCTATTTTTAAGTATAAAAAGTCTTTCTTCAGCTCTGGATTATGGCGCCAAAAGCTGGCATTATTCTCATGGCAGTAAACAGAGAAGTCCTAGGGGTAATCTTACCCCTTGCGGGAGTCCAGAATATCTGAGAATCTCCCTTTTCTTTTTACTGCTAGAAAGAATTTCTGCTAGAAGAATTTTTATTTTGGCCAACTCTGACCCCTTAGGTTGACATCAGAATGAGGTGTACCAACCTAGGTGGTCAGAGTTGGCCAAAATACACATTTTCCTGCTGAGCAATTTAGACTGGGTTAAGCCATACTTGACCATATGCCCTAGTTTAACGTCCGGTTTGTGAACATCCTTTATCTGAGTTATTGTAATTCTAATCTCTTACGTAAAACTGCAGGTAGTCAACCCTTTGTCTCCTTCAGTTCTACATCTGCGGATTCCTCCAACTACAGATTAAGAATGTTTGGGGGAAAAAACAGTAAAAAAAATTATAATACAACAATAAAGATAACAATTTTAAAAACTAGTATAACAACTTTTTACACCGCATTTTTATTGGGTATTGTAAGTAGTCTAGAGATGGTTTGAAGTCTATGAGAGGATGTGCATAGGTTATATGCAAACATTGTGCCATTTTATTTCAGAGATTTGAGCATCCAAGGATTTTGTATCCGTGGGAGTCCTGGAACCAATCCCCCTTGGATACTGAGGGATGACTGTATTTACAACATGTCTAGGTTTTCAACAACTTGAATTAAACCAGAAAGAATATGAACACGCAGAAGTTCGTGTGTATATATATGTGTATGTGTTTAGAAGGGAGCAAGCTGTTAAACATGGGAAATAGTTACTAGTAGTTTGTAATTTTATGATTACAATTTTAAAATTTAATTTTGCAACTGGAATTTGACTTGATTGGTTAGTGCCTTATAGTAATTAACCTCCAGATCATCAGAATGTCATCTTGTTATTTAGGGAATTGAATCTAATTTTCTATCTAATTTTCTTGTATACAGCATGCTTTTTAGAAACAATACACTGTATATCTAGTTTGTGCCAAGAACTGATTGTACACAGTTAGATACTTGCAGTTCTTTTGGACTTGAGTTTCTTTATCCTTCTATCAGATGTCACAATTCCCTCTTCCCTTTGTAGCATATGAAAGTAGTTGTG